GCCTGAGCAGTGGGGGTCTCTGTCCTGCCAGGCACAGGGGGATGGCATCAGGGTCCTGGGTCTGAGGTTGGGTGGAGACTGGGTCCTGAGGCCTGTGCTCAGGGCTGCACGGGAAGAGCTCAGAGGCCCTGCTCTGACCAGGGAGGGCCATAAAGATGGGGGGCTAGGATAGGAGGGAGGCCAGACAGGGGAGGGTTCAGCCCTGCTCTCTCTCCACTCCCACCCCTGGATTTGGGAATGATGGAACCAGGCTGCAGTCCCTAACTCTAGACCACCCATTCTGCCTGAGGGCCTTAGAATCCCTAGAAGTCCTTGCATGCCACCTTCTGAGGCTGGGATGACCTGAATCACACTGGAAATTTCTGTCTCTACTCAGTACTACCCAGACAGGTCCAGAACAAGTCCTTGTCTCTTGGAGGCCTCTAGTGAGGCCCTGTGTGCATTCTTACTGAATGTCACACAAGCTGAGGCTTTCAGACCCATTGTGCTGGGAAGTTCTAACTCAAATCCTACTGTGGCACTTCATGCTCTATAACCCCAGGCTGAGTTTTTGATATTTGAACCCACATCCCCACCCCCAAGCATGGAAGTAGTTTCTTCTGGACAGGGAAGAGGGTCAGAGTGTGTGGATACTGAGAGGATGTGGGGTAAAGCCTGGTGGATCACAGATGGTCAGACCTTTCCTGGGCAGGAGGGCGACGATCAGCAGAGCAGATTCAGAGAAGAGAACTCAGAGACCTCCAGTTACAACACTCCTACTTTAGAGACAGGAGCCAGAGGCCCTCGGGGTGCGAACACTCAGTATCCCTTGCTCCGTGATGGCTGCCTCTGGAAATCCCAGGCCCCTGATTACCTGGTCTAGGAGTCCTTCTTGTGCCCCATTTGGAGGCCCGTAGACTCTGTTCCTATTTTCTTCGCTTTATGGGATGGCAAGAGGGGGAGGAATACTTCAGCTAGACTGGGGTGCTGTCCCCCTTCCTCTATTGACTCCTTTCCAGCCTTCCCAGCTGGGCTTCAGGGCCTCCCATCCACTGACACCTGTTCCTGGTCCTTTCCGCCCTCCCTCCACAGGCTCCCTGGATCTGGTCTCTCAGCTCCACCTGGGCAGACAGCCCAGTATTCAGCCTCCTGGCCCGCTCCTAGCCTCCTAGTCTGTCCCCAGTCTGACCCATCTTCTCTCCTCCTCTCCCTGCAAACTAGCCTCTCAATCCCTTGCAAAATTATCCCGTACTCTCCTCCTCTGGGAAGTCTTCCATGATTAATTCTCCTGGTTCTAGATCCTACACTATTTCTTTCTAAACCACTGCCAAGGTACCTGCAGGCCTGTCCTTGTTCTTCTGTCTTCTCTTTCCTGTCTGTGTGCCTTGTCCCTGCTCCCCGCTTTGATCGCCTCGTCCCAACATGGAGCTGTGCCCCCCACAGGCAAGGCTGGGTTTTCTCCTCACTCTCAGGACTCCCCAGGACCCTCACCAGGAGGGTGAGGACTGCACTGGAGAATTGCCTGAGCCCCTCCTCATTTCCTGTATTCTGGGAATAGCAGAGATAATGGTGTCCGACTGGGTCTCATCCCGAGGAGGGAGGTGGCAGTGCGGACCCTCCCCTGTCTCTATCCTAGTGTTTTATTCAGGTTTAGGCCTCAACCCAGCCCCCTGTCCTCCTCCTGTTCCTGGTGGCCTCTGACCCAGTGCCCAGGCCTCTGGAGACAGCTGCCCTGGAGCCCCTGGGCCTGGTTGGGGAGCGGCAGGCAGTCCACCGAGATTTCTCAACTTGGGCTTCACACCCTGACCACCTGCTTCCTGGTTGGGTCTCTGCACATCTGTTTTCTCTCGCAGGCTCCTCTCCCCCCTCCCTTTCCTTCCTCCACTCCCTCCTCACACAGCCCATCTCTCCCCACAGCCTGAGTTCTTTTGGCAAGCTCTGCCTTTCCTGAGATCCTTGGGGTTGGCGTCCTGGGTGGGGAAAATGTTGGGTGGGTGGAGATGTGGGTGGAGAGGGTCCTGGCTCTGGGGAGGCACCAGGTCTAGCTCTGGACCCGGCTATGCATTGGCCGCCACCTTGTGGCCATCCAAAGAACTGCAGGGTTGGGTTCTGCTGAGAGCGGGGGAAGGAGGGGAATGCCCCCCTGGGTGTGCTTTAGGAGGGGAGCAGGCCTCACTGACACTGGAGCCTTCCTCAGAGAGCCTTTGAATTCCTAACTGACAGGGAAATAGAAACCTGGGGGAAAATCCAAGTAGGAAGGACAGGTCTAGAGGGAGAGAGATCACTGAAACTCTGTTCTCAAGTCTCAAACCTACTAGTCAAATTTTCCCTCCCCAAAAGAGCCCTAAAAGGGAATCAATCTGAAACTAAAGCAGGAGGAGTTGACATCTGACCCGAGAAGAACTTCCCAAGCAATCCCGAATCTAATCTAATGTCTGCCTCAATAACACAGATAAATCTTGTATAAAACTTTCACATAATACATTTTAGCCCCATGTGGATTTTTGAAAGTTTATCAACAGTTTTGGATTATCTGTGCTGTTGTTCTCCATTTCCAGTGGTCACAGAATATAGGAATTTACAATCTGGGGTAGAAGTGGAATCTTACAGAGATTTATCCTGCATTATGGTCTTGGGCTATTTCTTATCCCATCTAGGGGGTTTGACAGTTTAGAGGAAGCTAGGGGTAGATTTTTCCATTCATTACTGTCTGGGGATACAGATCTACTCTCCGCTCTCTGCAGTGACCGTGTAGTTGTCCCTACACAGAGAGGTCCTGGCTTAAGTTTCCTAGAGCCATTTTAGACCAGACCTTAAGAAAGTTCTCAACCTGCTGCAGATAGGTTTAGTGAACCTAAAGCAAGAGCCTGGCATTTGGCCTCTCTCTTTGGGCACACATAGCAGGAGTGAGCTGTCCTACAGTGTTTGCTCCTATTGTTTTTTATGGGGTGAGTTCTCCAAGGATATTTAGTGGATGCATGTTTTGACGGAGAGATGTAAATAAACTCTTGTGGGTTTCTTGTCTTCAAAGTTCCTCACTTGGCAAAGAATACCCAGAGTGCTGAGTTTAGAAGGGGCTCAGAGATTTGACAATGTGGCTTGGGGCTTTTACAGTCAGTTTCTGGGGTACGTAAATGAAGAAGGGTCTTTCTTTTCTCCTTTTCCAAATAACAGGAAAAGAGATCTTTTAAAGCCGGATGTGCTGAGGTTAAACTTAGTAAAGCGCTTCCTGACAGCACAACATGGCCAACTCATTTAGTTTAGAGGCCATTCTGGCCTTCCTCCCTGGCCTTCATTTCTGCTGCCCTGCATCGGGTGTGAAGGCCAAGTGTCATTATGGCATCTCTTACTGCATCAACTTCCAGAGTTGACTATCTCCCTCTCCCTTCAAGTCCATCCCTCTTGCAGCTGTATCCTCAGGAAAAAAGAAAAAAAGGGGGGAAGTCCTTTTCTTTGGTTAGATAGAAGCAGTCTTCCCAAGCTCCAAACAAGTTCCCTTCGGGTTTTTTGTGCTTCTTCTTCTTCTTTTTAAAATATATTTATCTGAGAGAGAGAGAGAGAGAGAGAGCGCTCAAGTGAGAGTGAGCAGGAGGAGGGGCAGAGGAAGAGGGAGAGACTCCCAGATTCATCTTGAACCCAAACACGACATTCTAAACGAAGTTGTTCTCAATAGACTGTTTAATTTTTAAAATCTTGAAGATCAAAGTTAGTTAAACAGAATAAGAAACTCAGAGCGTGGCAGATAAAGCAAAAACAAAAAGACCATCATGGCCATTAAAAAAGACAGGACCCACATGCTTGGGCAGATATGTAAATACAAAAATTCTTAAGATCGACAAAACGGTAGAAAAGTGGAAATGTTATAATGAAAGAAATGTTAACAAATAGCAATGCTAACCTTAGAAATAAGATAGGCCCGGAGAACTCTGTGGTAGGCAGAAAGATGCTAAAATAATAAAACAAGCTACAAAGCACAATAGACAACATTAAGGAAAGAAATCGTTTAACTGAACACAAAGTGGCATTTTACTACTGCGGAAACAGGTGGTAGAAAAGTGAAGTCGTTTCAAGGACTTTTTGGAAAGCTGTTTCCAGGGGTGGCAAAAGGAAAATAATAAAAATATTTAAGTATACGCATTATTTATAAAAAATTCAAAACCTAGAACAGGTGGCATTTAAAATACCGTCTCCCAAAGAAACGGCCAGTAACTTGTAGAGGACCCCCGGTCTGTCATATGCACAAACGTTCGCAGAAGTGAACCACGGGCACCGCGCATCAAACTTTCTCTTGGGGCCACCTGCAGGAACAACGCGCCCATGTAACTGGGAGTGAGAGCTGCGCGACCCTGGTTCAAGACAGACGCTCACAAGGCTTCCCCCTCCCCAGATCCCACCGACCTCCTCCTCCCAGGCCAGGTCTGCCACTGCAAATCCAGCTCCCGCCCCCTCAAGGCAGCCCTCCGCGTCCCGCATCCCTAGCTCAGTCCCGCGGGCCGCCGCCCCCAACGCGAAGCTTCATTCGTTGATGACCGGGTCAGTGGGGCGGGCGAGACGAGCTCGAGCAACGAGGATCCAGGCGGGGATCCCGGGGCGAGCTTAGTCTGGGCGTCTGTTAAGGAGATCATGGCTGCAGTAGTGAGGGCAGCGGCGACAGCACCTCGGGGCGCCCAGGGCGTGAACCAAAGTCCGGAGTTTTTTGTTTTTTTTTATTCATGAGAGACAGAGAGAGGCAGAGGGAGAAGCAGGCTCCCAAGGAGCAGGGAGCCCGATGCGGGACTCGATCCCAGGACCCCGGGATCATGACTGAGCCGAAGGCAGTCGCCCAACCAACTGAGCCACCCAGGCGCCCCCAAAGTCCGGAGTTTTAAGAAGCCGGGGAACAGCCCCGGCGAGAGCCCACGGGTTTTCCCGAAACAGGCTCCGCCCCCAGCTTCAAAACCGCTTCCCATTGGCTAAGCCCGCCCCCAATATTGCCCACTCACCCGCAGTCGTTCGGGGACGCACATCGTGGCCACGCCCCTCCGCCAATTAGAGAAGCGTGTTACTTGCGGTTGGTTGAGGAGACCTACCCCGCGCGCCGCGGGAGGAAAGGAGAGGCTGGTGGCGGGAAGTTTTCATTGGCGAGCGGCTGGAAAGTGTAAGTAGTTGTCTCGATGGCCGGCGCTCCGAGGTCAGAGAGAGAGGCGGCTGGGCTGGGCTGGGGTGAAGGGGTTCTTTAACCCCCTGGGGAGAGGTTCTGGGGTAAATCTGCTTTGAAAGGCTAATGTTTTCTTCTCCTTCCTGAGGGTGAGGCCGGCCTATCGCGGATCACTTCCGTTCACCAGTATATCGGCAGGAGAGAACCGGGCGTTAATCGTCGCCCATCTCTGATGGAGCTTGGTCCTTTAGGGCCCGTCGGACTGCCTACCCCTCTCTTTTATCTCCAGCCTTTTCTATGCAGGAAGCTTGGTTACCAGAGTCTGTAGATAGGCAGTCACCATCGGGGGACGCATAAGCATAGTGGAGGGTAGTATTACATTGCTGTTGTTTTCTAAACGCAGGTGGTGGGGAGAGGGGGACGCGTGTCTGATTTAGCCTGTGGTACCTCAGTGGCATGTACTCCAGTGGGAATGACTGGCTGTGACTTCGTGGCATATTTGCTGTGGATGCTGTGAAAAGTTCAGAAATAGCAGAAGGAAAGCCATAGAATCACCGAAGTAGTAATTAGTAAAAGTCTGTTGTGCACCCACCAAAGAACAGCTGGGGAAGCAGGTGCACTCAAGCCAGAAGAGGGAATGAGGATCAGGGGTATGTTGTTACAAAGCAGCTTAGAGAGTAAGAAGTCAGTGACTGTTTCTTCACAGTGATTAGAATATTAACGTTTTCTTAGGCGATAGGGAATTGGTTAGTGGTTACCTCGTATCAACTTTGGGAAGCTGTTTTTGCTGATGTTTTCCAGAGGTATACACAAGTAATTATCCAGGTGAAGTTAGTCTTACAAAATAAGCTAAAGTAAGCTTTGTATGACTAAAGTGGTTTTCTCTGCTCAGGGAATTTTTAAGGCTGGTCTTTCTTAGTTTTTTTTTTTTTTTTAAACAATTCTCCCCTTTTGAACATTATCTCAGCAGGGTGAGAGAATGACCAAGCAGTATAGTATTATTTTTCAGTTTCCATCATTGATGTAGTCAGGCTGAAGAATCACATATTTGCTGTTGCCATTAGTTGAATCATCATGCTGAGGGCCATGTAGTCACCTTCTTCATCATTTATGTGGTTATTGTTGATTTCATCCACTTGTCTGATCCTGATGGATACCATTTGGCATATGAGTGGCTGCTGACAGGCCTTTAAAACCCTTAGGGTTAGACAACGTATTAGTAAATAAGATGACTGAAGTTAAATAGCCTAGGACTTAAAAATTCCCAGAGCAGATTCCCAGGTGCCAAGATTTAACCCACTAAATAAATCAAATGGATTTCAGTTTTTAAAAAGTTATTTACAGGGTGCCTGGGTGGCTCAGTTGGTTAAGTAACTGCCTTCGGCTCAGGTCATGATCCTGGAGTCCCGGGATCGAGTCCCGCATCGGGCTCCCTGCTCAGCAGGGAGTCTGCTTCTCCCTCTGACCCTCCCACCTCTCAAGTGTGCTCTCTCTCTCTCTCTCATTCTCTCTCTCAAATAAATAAATAAAATCTTTAAAAAAATAAAATAAATAAAAAGTTATTTATATTAGCGTAACATGATGTTTTAACAATCACTTCCTCATGATGACTTAGGACTGGTTGAAGGTGAGATTGATTTATTTTAGGAGGTCGTGTGACAGGTGAACTTCCACCCAAATTAGGCCTCCATATGGTGTGAGCAGTGAGGTAATTTAATGAGAGGCGTTTCTATGGAAACAAAAAGGTTAATAGTTCAAGCAAATTATAAATTCACTGAGTTTGGAGATCAGCTAGTTGAGATAATTTCTAAATATTGGGCTTAAAACATCTTCAGATGGAGTGAGGGCAAGAATGGCAATCTGACAGATTTTCCCAGTTTGCAGTTTGGATGTCTCGTGATCTTGCTGCATGGCCACAGAGCAACAGACACAAAGATTGCCCTCACATGGGTTGTTTTGGTGGTTTCTCAAGTTTATGTCAAGTTGTCCAGTTTTAGCTTGCATGGCTTTGGGAGAAGCGCAGTTTTATTTTCATAGTGATTCCAACTCAGAAGAGTGGGAGAAAATTGGAGATGTTAGTTCAGAGAATTCTAGCCAAATATTGGAAGAAGCTAGAATTCAGAATCCAGTCCAGTTTGTGGGTAGAAAACAAAACCTCAAGGACAGTTAACAGCAGTAGAATCTGATATCCACAAGGGTGTATTACTGAAACTTCATTTTTTTCTTTGGAATTGTCCCTGTTTTTATCAAAGAGGACCGCAGTCAGACTAACTTGTTTGTAAATTAAGTCTAGTTTCAAAAATTTGGCCTGATTATTTACATAAGTGCAGCAAGAATAGTGATTGACCAAATAGGTGCTTTTAAATCTGCTGTGCTGGAATTTGTGTCCTATTAAAAGGAGAACAGATCGAGCTTATGTAAATACATATATTGTCATGAAAAATAAGTATATTCAAAAAGAATTTCTGAATTCTGGAGGGATCAAGTAAGGAGAAAAAAATACTTGTTTCAACCTTTGTTTACAAAAGTGTATTTTACTGAAGTGCTGTAAGCTGTAGATAGCTTAAAACAGAGGAGAAAATAGGGCCCTTTAAATCTGGAAAACAAAACATTAAAGAACTAGCAATGTTTTAAATGAAGTCATAAAATTATAATCATCTTTAGTTCAGTCTCCTGTAATTCTTGTTTTGCTTCAACTTGGGTTAGCAACATTATGAATCAGTTTTCCGTTAGACTTTTAGAAATCCTTACCCGTTCAGTGTTATGATCTTAAAGTTATCAGAAACTTGTAGTTGTCAGTCTTTTCCATGACTTTCCTTACAGGTGAAGCACTTTTGTAGGAACACTTTTATGAAAATAACAGTAAAACAGTAACTGCCAATGAGTGAAAAAAAATTTAAAAATAGCCATGGTTAAAGATCTTGTGAGAGTTCACACAAACACACACACGCACACACAAATGGAATTGACAAATAAAATTGGTTATTTTTGTGATCTGTAGTATTTTAAGATAATAGCTGGAATTATGACTAGATAATATACCAGGACATGTCAAATTTTTAGGAATTTCATATAATCTTTGAATTAGTTATTTAATAATATACCCCATATAAATTATGATCTAAGATAAAACATTATTTTTGACAGTGTTTCCCATGCAAATTAATATATCAAATAAGTCTACATAAATTAACATATCTCTTTTTACTTCATTCAAAAGTTGATTTGGGGGCACCTGGGTGGCTCAGTCGGTAAGCGTCTGCCTTCGGCTCAGGTCATGATCCCAGGGTCCTGGGATCGAGTCCCACATCGGGCTCCCTGCTCGGCAGGAAGCCTGCTTCTCGCTCTCCCACTCCCCCTGCTTGTGTTCCTGCTCTCGCTATCTCTCTCTCTGTCAAATAAATAAATAAAATCTTAAAAAAAACCAAAAAACAAAAGTTGATTTGGGGAAGTTTGTTGAAAATGTCAAAAGATTTAAAACATTTGGTCAAATAGAATCATAGGTCACTCTTAAATAATACTTAGTTACCCATTCAACCAGAATGACAAAAGATTTCAAAGGCAGAGATTCCTGTGGTGCTCTCTGTAAGTAGTGCTCTCAGTGAGTGGCTGGAGTTGAAGAGAACCTGAGTGAGGAGGTCCTGGAGTCCTGCGCATTATGGTGTCCTAGCATGTTATCTGGAGCCAACGTGGTACAGGTCTGGATTATTCCAGGGTGCTTTGTGCCTGATGACTTTGGCAAGATGGCTGTTGCTGTAGCGAGCACTGACCAGGGGTGTTACAGCGTGCACTGCATTGGGGCTGTCTTGGTAGGTTGGCTTGGGATGATGTGGGTTAGGGAACCAGCGCTCACTGAGGCAGTAGGCCAGCTAGGGTGCCTGGACTGTGCTCCCATCCATGCTATGAAGGTAGAGGGGAATGTAGAATCTGGTACTCACCAGGCCCTCCAATCCAGAGAAATTTCCAGCAGCTTCCTTACCATTTGGTGGAGTTCTAGGGCTAGATACTATATTCTAGTTGCTCTTTTAAACTGTAGCTTTTTTTCTGTGCCCTGGGGGGTCCAAGTTTGATGTGGCTTAGAGGCCCAGGGCTCACTGAGGCAGCAGGCCAGCTGTGGCATCCATAACCTGCTCCTGTCTGTGCTGTCAAGATGTACTGGAAACAAACCATGGCACTTGCCAGCCTCTCAGATATGGAGAGAGTTCTAGTTGCTGTCCTGCCATTTGATAGGGTCCTAAGGCTGGTTCCTTTATATTCTAGTTTCCGTCTCAAAACTTTGGCTTTTTTTCTGTGTCCCAGGGCAGATGAATCTGCTCACAGCCCCTCAGTGCTATCCCTCCCACTGCAGTTCCACAGCATTCGGGGTGGTGGTGGGGGTTTCCTTTGTTAGAGTATGTCTGTCTGTCTTGTTTTCTTTATGTGATCTTTGTATCTTTTGTTGTGCTGAAGCTGTTCAGTCCATCCCCAGTTCTTCTTTAGGAGGAATTGCTCTAATAATAGGTGTAGATTTGTTGTGTCTGTGGAGGAGATGAGTTCAGGCTCTTCCTGTGTTGCCATCTTGAATCGGAAGCTCTCTGTCAGGTAGGGCTTGATCAGAGAAGCAGAGGCACTGTGAGTGATATAAGGGATTTACTTGAGGGATTTAACCTTATGTGATTATGTGAGGTGGTCGAGCTCTTCCCTTGCGTATGTTTGCCTGTGTGTCTGGCTCTGGGCCTGAAGTCAGCAGAGCCAGCAGTCAGGAAGAGAAGGCAGATACACAGTGGGGAATGCAAACACAAACTGCAGCCTGTGAAGATGAATCCTGTTTCTTAACAGAACCTGCATTAGTCTCATTGCCTCAAAGTCTCCAATTTGAACAATGCAAGAGACCTGTCAAAAAGCTGGTTGCATACTGCTCGGGTGAGGATTTAGAGAAGCTGAAGGAGAACCCACAGGGTCTGGAGCAGCTGCAAACTCTGCTGTTTCCCTGAGGATATATGGCAGCAGTCAGAGTTGCA